GACGAACTATCTGTTCTTTGTATCCTTCTCTCTAAATAATTCACTTCTATAGCTCATCACTGACATAAACTTCGGACCTGATATAAGCATTGCTCTTGGTATTCTGTTAACGTTGCGAATAACTGTTGCCTGTGATAGGTTCTTTTCCAAATTAAAAATAATAATATATGATTTAAGATCAAGAAAGACACTATAACGACTTAGTATTTTAACTATGCTTACAATAGTATAATATTTGTGCAATAAGAATGATTTTCGACAAATTATCAGAATTAAAGTTAGGAAAATAGTATTTTAAATTTATTTTATGCTTTGCAAAATATTTTGTATTGTTGTTTGTATTTTTTATTTTTACATTTTTAATATTTCTTTTATTCGATAAACAATTGTTTATTTTACTAAATAAATAATTTTAAAAAATTTAATGTGTGTATTTTTTGGATGCTGTTATTTCATATATGGAGTAAATCAGATCTTTCGATTAAAATTACACTATGCCTATATTTAAAAACTATCTTGCCCAGGGCGACATAATTGTTAGATCGGCCCCTGCATTCTTGTTGCTTCATATCGTTTAATTTCAATTTCTATACGACCTGAAGTTTGTAAGGGTATAGTTTCAAGTCAGTCTTGGCAATGCTATGAATGCTACTCTAAGAGATTTCTGTTATCCGAATCGACTTGTTGGGGTTGACTGCCGAAGGTTGTCAGGTTTGCTTGCTGTTACAGACTTTTCTGTTGACGGACGTTGTTTTCCGAAAGTTCTTCACAGTTCTATTCACAACTTCTCGTGGTGGTGAATCTGGTGCTGAAAGTGACGTTGTAAGGTCCTCCGTGCCATAATCACATCTGGTGTTGTCTATGGCTTCAATTTTTGAAAAAAACATTTTATTTCAAATTTCACCCGCTATGGCAAAATTTGGCGCTGCTGTTTCCTAATGTGCACATTATGTAAATTTTGTAACAAATTTCGGGAGTTAAGAAACAAAGTAGAATAATTTTATTTGGTCTGGCGAAAATCCATACTTACACAAACATATTCCATTGCACTTACTAAAGGTGACGGTGTAATGTGGTTGCACAGCATCCTTTATTACTGATTCTTAGTATTTTGAAGAAACCTCTACATCTGGCCAGTAACATACTTCGTTAATGTACGGAGATATAATACGGTTTAAAATGACATTTTAGCACCGTAGCGGAAAAGTTGTCTAAAAATCATAATTTTTATGTAAGATGGTGCATCCTACACATTGGCTTAAATGTGCTACAACGTTTTTCGAACACGAGAATGATTAGTCGATTATTCTCAACGGCATGACCACCACGATTACCTTATCTGAACTGAACCCCTGTGTCTTTTGGTTATGCTGCTACCTAAAGAGCTTTCTTTATCAAAGGCGATGTTTCCAAGACAGAATTTAACATGTGCGATAATTCCATGTTGCTCGTTGTATTCCGCCGTTGAGTGTGCTGTGTAGTGAATGCAGTTTTTATAGCATGGAAATGGAGAAGACATATTTTTGATATAGCCTGATCTTAACGATCAGGTTCCACATTCCACATCTTAGCTGAAATAAATCACGCATCGTTTCTTGACTTCCGAAATTCGCTAGAAAACTTACGTACTATAATACGCACGTTAGAGGGCAGCAACGCAAAATTTCGCCCTAGCGGTTGAATTTTGAAGAAAATTTTTTCTCGGAAATAGAAACCGCATACTGAGTACAGTATTCATACTGAATTTGATTGAGATTTGTTTAATAGTTCTTTATGCAGAGAGATCTGAATACCTCTAATTATGATCACCTATTATATTATATACAAAATCTCTTAGAAATTGATTATTGAAGCGTTTATATCAATAAATTTTAAAATGTTTGAATAATTATACGAATTTAGAAATCTGTAAACACTATAAAAAATATGAGCTATATTTTCCAAGCACGTACCTTAGCTGTTTTCCGTGCAAATAAGAACATGCTCTTATATGTGAAAATCGTTTGTTTTCGCGGTTTTTTTAACACATGTACTGCTTCTTTTAAAAGAGCACACCTTGCATACAAAAGTATGCTCTTATGTGTTCCAGCTTGTTTTGGCTTATATTGTAAATTAAATGTAAATATACTGATACAGCAACTATTCAGTGACATCTCTGTGGTAATCATTATATAAAAGAAATTAAAATAAAAAAATACAGTCGACCCCCTATAACTCAGTAGATACGTTCCACTTTTATAAGAATTTCACGTTGTAGGAATCCTTAAATATATGATCCAATCACAGCCCGGCATGTGTGCAGTTTACGGACTACGGCTGTTTGAAAGGTTTTCTTCTATAAAATTAATCGATTCTAGACTAATTTGACTCAACATTTCCAAAACACGTATAATTTTTTGGGAATAATCCATATAAACTATGTTATAAACAAAAAATTGTAGGATTACTTACCGAGTATGCACCGTTCGATGACGCCATTGCTTACGCTTGTTTTCGTCGCGGAGCAGCGCACTAAACGGCGGGTGCGTTTTATAATAATTTATTTTTCTGCGAAAAATTCGTTAAACTTTGGAGGCATAGAAATAATTTTGAGAAATAGAAATAATTTTTATAATCATAATAGAAATAATTTTTATGGCCGTTGAATAAGAAATGTTTTTTCCCACAAAAAATGTATAAAATTACAGTACTGTATTAGACTTACAGTACCTAATTTATATTCTGTACAGACGATAGTAAACTCAACTTACCCGCCTAAACTCTCCGTAGCGTGTAAGTAGTTCGGCTGCTCGTCCACTATTGGTTCAGATTCGACCAATCCTGTTGCGACACGAGTCGGCAATGTCGTTTTACTACATTTTATGAGTCTCTTTTAGCGTCTTTATACAAATACGGTCTAAATTTTTTCGCCGCGATATACGAACCCGCATTATATGAACCCGCGTTATAGGGGGTCGACTGTACTTCCGATACTATAAAGTGTTTTTTAAATAGAGTTTTTAAGGTGATTTGCGGAATATATTGCTGATTTTCTTCATATATAAGAGCATAATAAATGCATAGAAATACAGTAATATTTGTGCATTTAATAAAAACGCTATATTTTTCGTTGCATTGATTATATAGATTTTAAAAAGTTCTTTAATACAAACAGTAAAATATTATTAAAGTTTTATTAGAATTCCTTTAATATTGAAAATGCCAACGAATTTAATATGTTTCATTTATTAACATCTATTTGTTCTGACAGCAAAACAAATGAAATGCTAAAAAATTCTTAGTAAATATACGTTATGCAGAATATAATGTCATTATCTGTGACATACTGTACAACGAAATTACGGTGAATTATGAAATAAAAGACAAAGTTATAAAACCACGTATTAATCGAGAAGGATAGGATTGGGTTAATGGAATATGTCAATACAAATAACACTAGGGCCAGCTGCCGAGGATATGTCTTCCGGGTGAACTTTCTATGGTAAATTGACCTCTATTTAGGTGATAGACACGTGAAGAAAACCCGGATTTATCCGCTGGACCATTGGTAGTCGTGAAGGGTATCATTTACAATTATCAAAAGAACGCATATTTTTTTCAGAAATTGAATCGTAATATTAAAAAAAATAATATTTATTATTTAAATTCTTATATTTTGAAGTTTTTAGTATGATTTTGATATTATAATTTAATATAAATTTTAAATTATAAGGTGGAGCTGAAATAAAGTATATACCATGCTTATGCTTTATAAATTATTACACGTATTTTTAAATGATTTAATATATGACGATAATAAACGTGAATTATATAATATTAATGACTATTGACTTTTAGCCCTTAAAATGACGATTCCAAAATTTCGTCTTAAAGTATATGGATACCTGGTTATAGCCTATGATAGCCAGGTATTTATATACTTTAAAGCGAAATTTTTGAATATAGCATTATATTTTAAAAATATTAGAAATCATCAAAATTTTTTAAAATAAGTGATAAATTCTATTTTAATTTCGTAATTCGATTAAAACATAAAATGTTAGAATCTAATTGAAATAAATTAATTAAATTATGAAAATTTATTTACACATTTTCATTTACAATATGGCTAAAAATTACAGTCAAAAACATTCTTATTAAATCATTTAATACTTTTTAATATTAAACTAGGACTTAATCGTGATATATTCTTTAGAGCAGGCGTTTGAAAATGTATTTATCTTTATAAAAAAATGGTTTATTTTTTATTTTAAAAAGCGAGATTCGCTGTCGTATTAAATCATTTTGAATACGAATATTTAAAAGAATAAGAAATGTTTTCTATAAATTTAGTAAATTGATTATTAATGACGAATATATATTAGTTCCAAATTTATTTTCATTTGTGCAATATTTATTTTTCATATTATGGAATAAATTTATTAAATTAAGTATTAAATATTATATATTTTATTATTTATTAATAATCGGCAATAATTAAGTTATATCGTCCGGTTTATTTATATAATTTTATTATTTATTTATTTATTTAAATATATACAGGAAGTCTCCCTTATCTGGGAAATATAATATTATTTTTTATACAAAAAACATTTTATGTATAAAATTTGTTTAAACTATATTATTAAATTAAAAATTACGTTTTTTAAAATATATTCGCTATAATTATAACAATTATTTTTCAGTTCTAATCTATTTTTCAGTTCAATTTAGTTATGATATTAAATTTATAATTTTTTAAAGATTATTTTAAGCAATTATAAAAAAAATATATTGTGAGAGTTTAAAAATTGTCAAAATTTAAACTTTAAATTTTCTATTTATTTTATTAAATGCATGATATGAACAAATAAATTAATATTAATAAAACATAACCTATAAAGAATACTCTTTTATTTATTTATTAAATACCAAATATAAAATTAATTGTTAGACGAATATTATTCAATACATAGACCCATATTTAATCGTTATTTATTATTTTATTCATTTTTAAAAGTTTATTTTTATTCATACACCGATTTAAATCGAAATTATTAAGTAAATTATAGCACCAAACGTTTTAAAATTTTTTAATATTAAATTTAAACAATTATAAGAATATTTTAAACAATTATAAATTTTTCCTCTTTTTTTAATGCTAATATTTTGTCGAAATTATCACAATCCAATTTCCAGCATAGTTAAAGTTACAGTTAAAATAATCAATGAATTAAATGGAAAATAAATATTTTAAATTTATAAAATCGTGAAAAGAAAATTTTATTAGAAATGCAATGGAATGTATAGAGTTCAGAAACCTGCACTTTATCTTTATTGTTCTGTTTTGCATGCAAAACTACTTGACTCTGATATTGCGCTCTTGATTATTGAAGCAAAGAAAATCAAACCGACAGTAACAATCCTCGAGTGAATTTTTATGGTATTGTATCTATAGAAAAGATTGGGAAGGTTGAATAAACTTTTACCAACGTTTCTCAAATTACTTATGTATGAATCCAACCTTATAGAACATTAATTCAGCATTCATCGAATAGAATTGTTTTGCTTGAAAGGCACAACATAACAAATCACATTGACATCCGACAACGTTATGACATGATCTAAAATAAGTCAGCCGGTTGTTTAATATATATTTATAAAATGCAGAAGTCAGGGAAGAAAGCTGTCTTTTAATAATAAATAATTCCTTAAAGGAAATGCAGCGTTTACGAATAATTTTAATGTTTGTAGTCAAATGAAACCAACCATTTATCAACTGCATATTTTGTCTTGTAAACGTTGAAATAATAAAAGTAATTAATAAGAAACTACAAACACAAAAGATGTTTCTTCATCTTTATTATTTTCTGTCTATGAAATTTGGTTTGAAATTTTAAGATTAAAAATGATGATTGTACAAAGGATTATTTTAGAAATTTTAAAATAAAAATATGCTAAATGCTTAGTCTAAATTTGCAAGGAATAAACGCGAATATATTCATTAAAATATTACCCCTAAATTTGGCACTTTTGGTACAGAACTTGTCCCACATAGTGCCTAAATAAACTATATATATAATATATATATATATTTATATATAATCTTTCTAAAAAAGTTTTTAACAAAATCAGACAAATATGTTTATATACAGACAAAATGATTCTAAATTTACAACAATTGTTTTAAATAGGCCTACTGAAATCACATTTATTTACATATATCTAAAGCAAATCTAAAGTAGTAACTATGCTAAATTAATACAAATAAATATATATTTTTTTCTATAATAAATATGGAGATTTTTATTTATATAAGTATATTTATGTATCTCATTCATTATCATCTTATTACGCGTCATGAATTACGGAGCTAATGAAATATGCAATTAAATAAAAGCAATAATTCATGACTCTAGTTTGAAATATTTTTTTAATTAATGAATATTATAAATTTTAAAAATATTAAAATCACATATCTAGTTTACTTAACAGTAAATATTAATGCAGAAGTAATTTAATGGTTATTGCTGCAGTTTTCATGTAAAACAAGAACAAATATTAACTCATTAAAACTCTTCGTAAATAAGGTAAATTAATAATAAATATATTTATAGATAATTTAAAGAGTTATAAAATCGCGATGAAAGACATGAATGATAATGAGAGAGATAACTTGTTCTATTAAAATTGTACATGAAAATTAATGTCGAAAAATTGAATAAAACTCGATAAAGATTAAGGCAGTGACTAATTTGACATATCAGAGGAACTACTCTATTTCAGTATTAACAAGCAGACATAAATAACAATATTTCAAAATATATTCTGCATAAAATAAGAGCTGGACATACACAAAACTTGGACAATCGTATTGAGCAGGATAACATACTCATAATTTAGTGAGCAAAGATTTATTTAGAAAGAAACCTATTTTTTTTTATTTACAAGTTATTTATTGATTTCTTTTTATTATTGATTATCGTTATTTATAAATAATACTGCTCTTTTCTCTCGTGCAAAAACAATGGAATAACAGTAAACGATGCATAGTTATCTATAACCAGAGAGGTTGGACGAAACAAATTGATGAACCCCCTGTTTATTAATGAAGTAACAATGAAAAAATGGAAAAAACAATAATTTTTCTGTTGTTTTTTTGTAAAATATAACAATATAATGGAGACATGGCCCCTTACAACTTGATTATCAACAACAATAACCCCATAACAGGCTCGTATAAAGGTTTTTTTTTTTTTTTTTTATTTTTATATCTTCGATGGATTTTTTTCTCTGGAGGAGTATTTATTGGAACTGAATTAATATTGCAATGATTGATTTCAGGCTCAGATTGATTGTTTTTTTATCTTTTAAAAATGTATTTATACATCTTCATCTTCTGATGTTTCTATGTCTTGTTCCTCCTCTTCTTCTTCGATGATAAAACAGCGTTCTAAAAAGTTTTCCATAGTTCGATATAAATGAATTTGAACATTTTCTAAATTGTTCGTCTCGTCGGGATACATCTGTCAAAAATTTTCAATTGAATTTATTATAATATTCATTCTCTATTTCTTCAATGCAACACCGTAAACTAAGATCAGCGAGAAAGTTATTCTCCTCGAAACACTCAGTAGAATTGTGGAATAATGTAAACGAATATATCAAAATATTGTTTTAATTAATATAAATTTTAATAGTTTCATAGTAAACAACTTCGACCTTTCTCTAGAGTAAGAAATCGTGTTAAGTGAGAGGCATAAATTCCTTCATAAAAACTATCTAAGAAATCTAGTTCAATATAATTAACCATAATAACGGTCTTTAACGACCATTTATTTTATAAGCGAAGTAAATATCCCAGAGAATAATTCTGTAGAATCTATTTTAAAAAATTACCTGAGTTCGAAAAAGGACATTCGATTCAATAAGGCTCTTTATCATCATCATGGAATGTTGAAGGTGAATTTTATCTAAAAGGAAAAACATGTTCGATATATTAAAAGATTTACGAGTAACATCTATTATTAATATGAGTAAGGATTATCCTATTAAAAAGGGATTATAACCAATTTCGTCTGTCATGGATGAAAAATGATCGATGACTTTCCATAAGAAAAATGGGAGGATGAATCTTTAAAGATTGAAATTGGAAAAATCTCTAGTGGTTTATTCGATGGGGGAAAAATTATATACGCATATACCTAAATTTTAATTTCTGATTAATTTATGATAAAATTTTCTAAAAAGATAATTTGATTATTTAGTCATACCCATAAAAAACTAACCGTCAGCTGTTCCATGAATTATTAAGTATTTTTTTTTCCTGAAATCTGCCGCTTTTCTTATTAAGTCACCTTTTTCGTAACCCAAATAATTATCTTCTGGTTTCGGAGACTGCATATACCTCTCGGTGTAAAAAGAATCTAGGAAATAAAAATATGATTATAATTATATTTTATAAATAAAATTGTAATGATTTTTATATATTTTCTAATCAATTTTTTTTAAATTATAAATTATTAGCAATAAAGTTTTATGAAAATGCTTCTCTGTTTTCGAATAGGCATTAGCACTTTTAATAAATTATAATTTTCAAAGTGCTTCATAAAATGAAGATTATTTTGTAATTTAAATTTAATAATAAACAAATTGAATACTTTAAATTTTTATATGGCATTTTAACAATAAAAAGCTGTGATATCTTTCAATAAAATCAGGAATAAAGAAAGTTAACGTTGATCTAAAATTATTTTAATAATAATTTATGAATACAAAAAAATGACTAACCATAATAAAACCAACTTGTGATAGGTGCTACTGAGATTCCACATTGAAAAAGTTCGTTATCTCTCGCTAAAACCATTGCCGCAGCATAACCTCCATAAGACCAACCCCAAATACACATTCTGTCTCCGTCGATAAAGGGTAAATTATGTTTCAAGTAACTAAAATTAAAGAAGAAATTAATGGATAAATATATGTAAAATTCAAAAATATACCTCTTTACCATACCTCATAACAGATATATAATCTTCCATTTCTAAATTTCCTAGTTGACGATACACTTCGTGCAATCTTTTATCTCCTTGAAAACCGCTTCCTCTTCCATCGATCGTCACGTATACGTAATCCTTCTTACTAGCTAAGTACGATCCCCAATGTAATTCAAATTGTTCAGATACGGACTGACCGCCAGGACTACCATCGCTATAAAAATTTTATTGTTTTAAATTATGCGAAATAAATATTTAAATTGTACTAAACCTATTACTCACGCCTTCACGACCACCGGATATTTAAGAATTTCTTCATCTCTCAATCCGGGAGGTAGAAGCATTCTAACGTTAGCTTCTAAATAGATAAAGCAATTGTATCAATTATTTAAATCGACAAGAATAATAAAAACTAAGAAAATTATAAGCTAAACAATAGATTAATATTGAAAGAAAGCTAAAATAAAATTTTTTTTCATACAAGTCAGGAAATATCACTGAGGCACATAAAAGAGATTGTATTACATTTAAGACTTTCAAATAGATGACATTTTAAGATAAGAGAAGAAGCATTCGTGTTTTTATAAGATTAAAATATCGATAAAGTTATATATATATATTTTTAATCAAATTTATTCAAAATAAACTTCTCTTTTACCTCCAAATAGCGGCCCATAATTAAGTTTCTTACTATCCAATAATAAACGTAATTACTATTATCATTAGCTTAATTTATTTAGTATTAAATTTATTCTAACTTATTCAAATTAAAAATAACAAAGTGGCAGTTACCCCCTAGTCAAAAATTAGTTAATATTCATATAAATTAAAAACATGCGTGTTTAATCATATCATTTAATTTGGTTTAACGTAAAGTTACGATGTTCAGTAACGTCTGTGGACCCCTACCTTTTGCATTTTAAATTAGGTCATTAAAGTCATTTTTATTAGCACGAGATTTGAATTGTGACAATTGGAGTCTGATTGTGTTCTGCTTGTGAAAAATCGTGATAATCTAACCAGTTCGATTTGGAATTTCTTAATGGTTCTCTTAATGATTCTAATATTTGACCATCTGCCACAATTGCGATCAGTAATTCCATTTTATTTTAAATATTTAAAACTTTTAAATATCGGATAAAATAAAATGTAAATTAAAAATTCAAATATATTTTTACGGAATAAAGTAAGTTTATTTTTAATAAATGTAAGTTTTTAAATTCTTAACTACATTCCTTATATACAGTATACTATGAAATTTTATACACTTCTCGTCGTTTAATATTATAAATTATAATCAAATTCATACTTAAAGTGCCACAAAAAATTTTATTTGTAAATCTAATTAATTTTATTATTAAAATTACGAATCAAAATTTTACTGTTTAGTCTCTGACTAGGTACTTAAAAACTATTAGAAATTATTCACAGAGTGTTCTTTTATTAGATTCTGGATATATAAAAAATAATAAAAAATTATAATAACGGATTTAATGTAATTCATAAATATTACAATTTAATAATAAAAATAGTTATAACCGTGTATACGTTAATTAGATAAATTGATGCTATTCAGAAATCAGGATAGAATGAGATCTTGAGTATGCCACAAACAATACCCTAACTTAATTAATTTATATAAAATATTGCTTGAATATTTAATGAAGAAAGAATCGATTATAGTAAAATTTATATATTATGCAGCTTATATTTGCATTTAATTCAAATATTATATTATTACTTACTGAATCCGTTTTTAATTGGAATATGAAACGTCCTAACTTGAGGGAAAGCTCTCGAATCTATGAGTTCTTGAACGTTAGTGTTTTCATCAAAAACCTTAACTGAAGTATTAAAAAAATTTGATTAAAAATGAGGATGAAGGATTTAATATAGTAGGAAAAGCGTATACCCACTTAAGTTATTGTTACTGGAACTTCTCAGTTCAATTCTCGGTACTTTGGGGCCCAAGCATTCTAAAATGTAATATTTAGAATCGGGACTAAAAATAGCATTATTGTATAAACAACCTTCTCCCATTTCGCATGTGTAACATGTCGTTAAACGTGGCAGCTGAGAGGTAACATCGGTGACAGAAAAAAGATGCCTCTCTCCCGGTTTACCTCGGACGGTAGCGATGTAGAACCTAAAATTACAACAAGAGTTTAACAAAACATAAAAAAGAGCAATCGAGAATTTCGAAACGCATCGAAAATTCCGTTTAAAAAAAAGCCAAAAAAATAGCAAAATAATTGGCTAAAAAAATTGCGGCAAGAGCGAATTAAATTGGTGCATTTGCATTATTCAAACATGCTTAAAAATCATTTAAGTATTTAATCCCCGATTAACATAGATTAGTATCTTTATAATTAATAAAATGGGATTTCTACTCTCTAACAGCTAAAGGCCTAAATTTTAACGAATTTTTTTTTCTTAAAAAATGGATAAATGCATGCCTTATAAAAATGATGCGGCGATGCATAATGCTGAGAGGAACAAAAATGGTGTCGTTGCAATCATGCTGGTAATATAATCATGCTGATGGCGGGAAATAAGAAATAAAAGGATATTCTTTGTTTAATATTTTTTTTTGTTGGTAATACAGATAGAGGTAAATGTGGGAGTGCCTTGTCGTCATATGATGCGGGAAATATGGGCTCACACTGTCCTGTTCTCCGGATGATGAGATAATATTTGAGTGACGTCATACCGGCCATGGGTCAGATAGTCCTTCCTGCCTGTCTGTACGAGATAATTCATCATGATCATAATTGACATTTATAAAAATCGAGGGAAAATATTATAATATTAAATTTTACAAATGATATAAAATGGTTAGAGATAAGAAACATTTAGGTGAATTACAGTCATAACGTAATAAAGTTAATGCGTTGTTATAATACTTACATCCACATCTATCATAGCAAGATGGCGGTAGTGTCCAGCCTTTCCATCTGCTACTGGGAGACGAAGGAAATAGTGGTGTTTATCCATAGTAAATAGTGGAGGTTCGTACATCTCTACCCATCCATATCCGTAGCTGTCCTCTTGAAGATTCTGCAAGAAAAAATAGGAAAATATATATACACATAAGCCTATATATTTTTGTAAATTTTCAAGTTTAATTATTCTCTTCTTTCGTAAAATCTAACGGAAAATTAAATTTGAGTTATAAGTATTCATTAACGCCTAGCTATTTACTTGTTTAAAATTATGCGTTTTGCTGTTAACCGAAAAATATTATACATTCAGAAATTTAATTTTACGTAAAAGCTTAAAAGAAGATGAGTTATAATTTAATAATAGCAAAATTAGCTGCAGTTGAAAAATTATATTAGTGCTATAAACTTTTAAATTAAGCTAACCTTTTCACACAACCATCCATTAACAGCACTGCAAAGTGTTACAATGGACGTATTTTGTGAACGTTTCAACCAAATAACGGACAGTTTCTTATTGTCTAGCCAACGAACAGAAGTTAGGTAACGATCTCTAAAAATAAACATTGAAAAGGAAAATTTACAAATAAATTGAAGTTCTTGGAATCACAAAATAGTATAACTTATGCAATACTCACTGGTCCCTGTATTCTTTCGGTGGCTGGACAAGTTTAGGAGTTGGACTGGACTCGGCTAAATCCACAACCCATAAAGTTACTATGGGATTTGGTCTTCCGGGCTGACAACAAAGAGACAAGTTATTTGTTTTGACAGATTAAACACCTGGGACCGAAAAAAAGTTGCTTAGTTTTATTCAACCGCTTTGTTTTCAACAGTCGCTTTACTAAGATGATACAGTAAAAAATAAGGAATATGACACAATATTAATTTAAATAGTCTCGAGATTAATAATTTAACAGTTAAAAAATTTTACTTTGTTAGATTTTCGCTGACAAATCATACATTAAATTTGAAATTAGGTCAATTATAAGCTATTACATTATTTTAAAGATATTAATAGAAAGTGAGTTATTTTAAACTGTATTTCTACTGCTACAAAATTATACTGTAAAGATTATTTCTGTGAATACTGACATGAAAATGTATCTAATTAAATAAATTAAAAATTTCATAAAAGATTTTATTAAAATTTTAAATCAGAAAAATTTTAAACAAAAGATAGAGAAGATCTGTGCATCTTCGCCATTGAATTTGTACCTTCACCCACCCTCTACTTAGTTTTGGTGAACATCCAGATCAATATGGTGCGTCGTAATAGCAACAGCCAAAATTTACCCTTTTGCCTGTACATTCTACACAAAAAAAAGCTGATAAGTGTAGAGAGCACTCTTAAAAACCACTTGATATCCCTCTACCCTAAAGAATGGAAAAAGATATTCTATAAATCCTGTTTAAATTTTTTCAATGAATTGATCATTGTATTCACTTTAACGTTAGCGAATGCAAATTTGAAAATTTCCTTTTGAAACCGCAAAGAATTCGAAAATATTCTGTTTAATTGGTAAGAATTTTAATCATAGCTGTTTAGAGAATTTGTGAAATTTAGCGATTAGAGAGACGACCGAGTAAAGAATGTAGAAACATCAACACCATGAATAATTACGTAAGATGAAATGAAAGAGGCGTATGAATTAACTGGTATGAATTAACTGCTGATATTTACTGATGAAAACTCATTTAAAATGCAGACTAGGCCACATCTTATAAGCGTGCATTACATCAAATGTCAGTTAAAGGTTAAAGAAGATTCGCTTTATTAAATTATACTTTAAATATTCTCTCGCTCTTACTCTTATATTACTTAATTTTCTGATTCATACCTTGGGATACCTGAGATCCATCGTTTGTGGATAAATGTTCGACGAGTCTTTATAGGATCCGTACCAAGAATATTGCATAACATCGACCATAGAATCGTCAAATGATGCAAAACTCAAGCGGGTACCGTCGTCCGACCACCAAATTGCATTATTGCTTTTTAATATCTCTTCTATAATTTTAAAATCGTTACTATAAGTGTTTCAAATAGTAACCCATATAATTTTAAAACATTAAATTAAAACCTTCATTACATAAGATTAAACCTAATTTAAATTTATAAAAGTATTAAAATTTATTCATTAGCCCAGAAGTAATAGGACAATTAAATATTTTATATTTTAGCAGAAATGTTATTAGTAGAATATAATGTACATGCTAAAAGTATTAAAATTTATGTCATAGCCCAGAAGTAATAGGACAATTAAATATTTTATATTTTAGCAGAAATGTTATTAGTAGAATATAATGTACATGCAACGTATGTTCAGAATATAATATTTAAACATGCAAAACAAAACAAAATATAATTACAAAAATTGTTTAAAATTTTGTCCATTTATATCAAAAATCATTTAATTCTTGTAAACACAAAGTTATTATGGTCTGTTTAGTTCTANGCTCCTCCCGGAAAGGAATGGTCTCAAGATACTTCAATAACAAAAATAAAATAAAATTATTATAAATAATTACATAAATTATACTTTTGTGTTTTGTTTTCAGATAATTTTTCTCTTATTTAATCTTCAAATTTGTCACATTTTAAAAATTTATATTTAATTTCTTCACTCTCATTTAAGTATTAATCATTCTTACCTTCATATAACCAATCGGGTATTCCATTATATATTACACCATCCATTCCAGTCTGAGATAATACTCTCGGTTCACCACGTTTGGTGAATAGTGGAGAATAATAAACATTATTGTCTTTTACATAAACCTAAAAGTAATTTTACCTTAGTTTTAAATATTATATTCATTTATAAGAACGATAATAAATTACCATTTGGCTGCCTTGCCTTCCCCAAGCAGCGTATTGCAATTCTGCCTCGGGATCATCGGGTATTAATGAAAAAACGCGTCTGCAATTATATATATATATATATTTTTTTTTTTTCATAATTAATATCTTCTAGTATAAATGTTTATGTAATGTAATTACTTACTGTTTTATTATACTATATATTCCAAACTTAGCTTTATATGAATAACGAAAAACCTAAAAAAATACATTTTATTAATTTAATATGTCAACATTTATTATTATTAAATTTACTGTATATTAATATTAACCTTTTGAATGTCTTTAACTATTAAAATAAATTTTCTGTCTGGTGAAAGACTGTATTTTTCCACTTTATATTGTTTCTGTAATATTCACATAAAGAAATATTACGTTACTTGACGGTAACAAGTATACTCGATAGTAGCAAATTATACTTACGAATGTCGCATTTGACATGAGTATTGTTGTCGTGTCCGTATCTGCATTATATAACACGAGAAAACCGTCTCCATCTTGAAATAAAACCTCTTTATCTATAAAAATTAAAAATTATTCAAATTAATCGCCGTGTTCTTATTCTTAAAACAGAGGAGAGAACATTAAAAAATTATGAGATAGCTATCGATGTACTCGTGTTTCAACATACCTGATATCCAAGAACCATTAAATCTTCTAGGTATAGAGTCTCCAGTTAAAACTTCTTCTAAGTTAAATTTAGGATTTTTCACTCGCGGTTCCTCTTCGCCTAGTGAAAAAAAAGCAACTTATTAAATATTAAAATGTGGGTCAAACAATAAAAAATGTAGAGAACAAAAGCTCCTCCCGGAAAGGAATGGTCTCAAGATACTTCAATAACAAAAATAAAATAAAATTATTATAAATAATTACATAAATTATACTTTTGTGTTTTGTTTTCAGATAATTTTTCTCTTATTTAATCTTCAAATTTGTCACATTTTAAAAATTTATATTATAGAAAACAAATTCCAATAGATGTCAAATGAATAACACATTGTTGTTTCTTATATTGAATCATCAATACCACTTGACAACATTATTAGAGGGAAGAGAGCTTGATGCAGATGTTTCTTTTCCATTTTATTTAACTCTTGGATATGAAAAATGGTTTATGTTTAGACAGATATATGATTATATAAATTGAATCAATTAAGAAAAACTGCTTTTTTTTATACTTAAAAATGTCTTATTAGCACTAATTCAATATTAACTCTTCAACTAATTTCTTAATTATGATTTATTAATTTTAAATCATTCTGTAAATACTTTAATATTTTTGCTTAAATTAAAAAATAATTTAAAACACCAAAAAAATTAAAGTTTCTCGTCTTAGTTTTTCAACTTCTTTTAATGGAAATATTTTAAAATAATTAAATCTAGACATTTTATACAAGTGACCTGTACGTACCTGGTGTTAGAAGGATTACAGCGGTAATTATAAGAGTACAAATTGTGGCAATAACTAGAAGGGCAATACAAATTCCTCTCCAGTTCCTCTCTTCTGCTTCATCAGACACCAATTCCTAATATATTAATTATTATTTTTTTTAATAAAATGAATTATATATGTGAAATCTTTAAAGTGGTTTTTAAACTTTTAATATTTTACGATGAAAATATCAAAATTAAAATACGCTGTTAGCCATCCTTGAAAGATATTACAGCGGCATTTTCAGTTCATTGAAGTAGAAAACGTAGTTAAACGATAAGAGCGTTTCGGTTAAATAGCATCACTTATTGACGCCACAAAATTAAAGAAAACATTATATAATTAAGTCAATACTATTAAGAGATAATTTATAAATAAATTATTATCTTAAGAACAATACTATTAATCTTCTAACTTTCATTCATATTAAATTTATTATTATTTCGGCCATCAAATGTGTGATTTAGATAAATCAAGTGATTTTTTTGTAAATCTGCATTCTTTTACAAACAAGATTTGCGAGCATTCAACTTAATCTTTAAAATATCTTTTTGCCTACAGCTGAATATGAATGGTATTATATTATAGAGTATTTTAAAATACGAAATCTAAGAGAATTTATGGATATAAAATTCACAAAGATATTTCCAATATTTATAAGAAAATTACTAAGAGAAGCTAAACAAATATTTTGAGATAACAATAGTGAAGAGATAATGAAAGAATAAAACTAATTTTGATAATACAGGGATATTTTTACACATTCAGTCACGCGATTTGTACATAAAATTCTCGATGTAACTGAAATCGATTTACAAACCTTTCCTCCCGTGACATTTCACTTTATTACATTTTGTAGTACACGCATTTCTATAAATAACGTCTTAAAACATATACAGAATAACCCAAAACTATTGTGAAGGTATTTATAAACGCAATAAACTATCGCACGTCTCTGATTAGAACTTATGATATCCGACTCAAATTCGATAAAAGTCAAACCGATAGTGCTCTGGAGAGTACCCATCAAAAATAGAAATCACAATCAGCATTATCGATTAATCCTGTATCCAGTTACTTAATCGATAACAGTGAAGTAAATACAGTGATACACTATAAAGAATCCTGTTATATCAATTGGGTATTGAAGAATTTTTCAAGGAAAAATAACGCGAATTGTGTATTAAATCAGTATAACTCGATAAGTTCTACTGTTATAATGTAATTATTCTGTATATTAATTAATAAGAAATCAATATGATTAAAGAAAACAATTATTATATTTTAAAATTTAAACATTTTCAAAGGTTTGTATTATTTTCTGCATATCTCCTTTCAAAGTCAATTGCTTAAAGTACTTTAAAAGATTTAAATTAACGGAATCATTGTATACAGATACAGACTTAAAATATTCTCAATATTTCAGTGTTTAAAATACTTCTAAGTAAACGGCGGTGTATTAAAGCAATGGTGTCCAAACCTTTCGATTTGTGAGCCAAATTACGCAAAAATCATAGGTAAGCGAACCACAAATATTGTCTGCATTCAATATATATCAAAAGCAGGCCTATTTTCATCATTTATAAATGATGTTCTCGGGCCGGATTTTGCCCGAAAGCAGTATTTTTGACTGTCTTAAAGCATTGTAAGGATAGAAAAAGATCGACCGAGGAATACTTCCAGTATTACAAATCTCATTTGAAGCTGAATTGTTCTTCGCATCTGAAGAACTTCATCCTTTTACTTATTGACATACAGTATCTAGAGGCAATACTCTACAGTATCGTAATACAGAAATTTATATATAAATTGTACTCTAATAATTGTAAGGTACGAATCAAAATTTTTAGATATTTCTAAAATTTTTCCATCTGATAGTAAACGATAACGAACAATATGAATCCGTTATGAGATTAAGATTTAAATGATTTTATGATTTACTTTTGCTGATTCTGTAAGTGATTTTAATATATTTAAAAATGTGCTAAATTGATAAGCAGAAATATTCCTGATTAGGTTATGAAATAGGATTTTATCGCTACTGATTGAAAAAAAAAATATTATTTATCTTGGATTATAATATCACAAAATCTCAGCAGTTCAGCTGAATTAAACTGCTATTTAATTGCTTTAAAGCAAATTTTATCAAATTTATTTTTAACATACAAATCAAATCTCTGGTTGATTCGTTTAAATTGTTTTCAATTAAAAATCGATTCAAAAATTTAAAAGTACATAAATTTAATTACAAAATTTATAATTAATAAAATTTGTTATTAATTACTTTAAAACTTCTTAAACAAAATTGATAAAATTTCTCTTAATATTATTAAAATAAGAAGTAATTTAATAGAAGAGAAGCATCCAATTAGGATAAATGTTTTATAAACTAAAACATAATTAGAATTAAAAACTATTCTAAATTTAATATTGCTTAACATTTCCGTAACGATTCAGATTTCATTTTTTAATACTGTCTTGGTTATTTCGATCTGGTTATATTTCATTCGTTGTGCTATACCAAGGAAATTCTGTTAGCATCGCACATTTATTATTCAAATAATGCATTGCAGAAAATTATTGTATAATTAATATATTAAAAAAATAAGATAATTATGAACGTAACGATGTTATTTTTTATTGTATGACAATTAAGAAACACAAAAAATATTTTTTAACTTTAAATATATACATATAATAAATGAATCAAAACAGATTAAACTTTTTGCATTGCCTAGTTTAACTTTTTCGTAAAAATATTTTACAAAATTAAACAAAAAAAAAAACAACTAATTATTCTGACTGCTTTGCACATTAAAAATAATCCCCGGTTTCTAATCCGCGAACTTAAAAAATATTATTTTTTTGATATTCGTGATGGAGCCATTTGTATATTCGGATTTAGCCATTGTAGAATTGTCCAAATTTACGTTGGCCACTATTAGCCAAGTCAAAAGATAGCCAGCTAAGATTACTGAGTGATGACTCCGTCATTCTGAACCAATCCGGATTCGAAGCTGGCCAATATGTTTGGTTTATTCATATACAACAACGCGACACATGGGAGATCTGCCCAGGAAAGATGCCTCCTCGGATCTTTTATGGGAAACTGGCTCATATTTAGATGTTACTAACGTGAAGAAAACGCGGAAAATTCCACGTGGCCACCCCGTTGGCCAGGCGCAAATCCACTGTTTGTTTTTAATGTTTAAGCTATATTAATGTTAGGCGATTTCATTCACTCGGCCACCAATGGCCGAGTCCATAGAACACTGTACTGCATTTACTGTACAGTAGATAGATATATACAGCAGTAAAAATGATAAAAGAAATATACAAGTTCAGGTGACCTTTTCGAAACAATTTTAATTCGATTAAACGGGAAGGTTTTATTTTTTTCCAGAAAAACTAAAAGTAATTAAAATCGAAACCCGGAATCTATCAGGGTATCAATTATTTATCGAGGCTACTTTTTATAAAACTTTTTGCCAATATATTCAGATCGAGAGTCTATAAAACAATAGATAAATTTCTTAATATAAAAATTAATGATATAATATTATAACATATAATAACAAGAAAAACATGTTTTTTATGTTTAAGTTAATATTTACAATAATTTATATATTTAAAATTGTGTTGTATTACAATTCTTAATACAGAAGTCTACCTATTCTCAATATTCAATTACATTCGTATAAATTATTTTTATATTAAAAAATAAATCATTTAAATAAGAATACATATATAAATTACTTTTTTTACATTAAATAGTAATATAAAAGTTCTTAATATGTTTTAAAATTTTGTGCCTTAAAATTTATTTAAAAAATAAGGAAAAAATTTAAATTNTATAATTAAGGAAATGCCGTTGAATCATCAGGAGTGTAATCTTTTACCATAAGAATAACTTATAATATTTTCATACATAACATTCTATCATTTTGCTGTACGTCCTTCGCTTTAATAAAAGAATATAATTTATATATTATTTTAAGACCATGTTAAATCATTCCTAAAATATGTGTGTATTAAATTATTGTCGATAATTGATAGAAACCATCTTGACTGATTTCCAAACAATCGCAAATTAATATCGAATATAAAGGTTGTAATTAAATAAAATATTATATGTTATTTGAGATAAAAACACTTAAGACATAATAATCTAAATAACTATTGATTGAGATTTATCAATTGTTAATAATGTACTCCTACGTGCTACATGATAGCAATAAAAAGGACGACTCCTATAAAACAGGTAATTACACAGATAGCACATAATTACAGTTAAATCACTTATTATATTCTGTTAAGGCATAACTCAGTTGCTGAATGTGTAACGGTAGCGGAGAGATTATTAATTAGATGAAAAGACCAAAATCAAAGTAATGAAAATGCTTAAACGATGCTTTTTTGAAACTTTTTCAAACTGACTAAATGAGTCTGAGTTTTGGGCTAAACAGAATAAGGCATATCGGTTGTAAAGAGAAGAATAGTTTGAATTCAAATCTTATGTATACTTCCATTTTAAAAGTAAACAATAGATTAAACTATATCGTCCGTAGAAAATGACTTTAGTAAAGCGCTTACTTTTTTTTATCCCAAACAAAGAACATAATTCTCTAGAGATCAGAAAGACTTTTATCTCGTCAGCAAGCTAGAACTTTACTGACATATTTCTTTACTTCATACGATTTTTTACCATTGTCTGTGTAAAAGCTTAAGTACTGTAATAATATCCCATCAACTTTGAGATTTGTTATTGGAGTATCTCCTGGGATTATACTGTAACTTTCCCTTTATCTTCATATGTTGTAATTTCTTTTCACTTTATGGTTTTGATAGAAAGTGTAATAAAATTTCTTATATCAGGAAACATAATTTGACTGACTGATATCGACTCCAATGTAAATAACGATGATAATGATTCTTAAAGGTTTGTTTACTATTACAGACTTTTATGAATCATTATAATCATTATTTAGATTCGACCCGATAACAGTCAAATTATGTTCCTTGATATAATAAATTTTAATATTTAAATAGGCTTTTTGATTATAACCCCAAAATTCATTAATTTACTTTTGTATA